GTATGTAAAAAAATTTAATGCAGTTTTACAGTCAAAGAATAAGATAAAAATTAATCATATACAATGCGATTTATTGTGCCAAACTTCTGGGACCGAATGCCGTAAAAGATTTAAGAGAGAATGTTCGGCGAAAGTAGACTGATAAAGAATGAATTCATAAGGTCAACCGGTCAGTCACAGAGGTGTAAATATGAATCGGCGACGAATTACCTCGTAGCCTGATATGTTCACTCCGAACTCTAGTAACAATATTTAATTTTTAAGTAGAACAGTGAGAAATATTTCTCAAAGACATTCGCGTATAAAAAGAGACAGTTCAAACACAGGAACGTAAACATTCAACAAACAATTTATCTTAACGTCAGTGAATTCTTATGTAGCGATCTTTATGAAAAAGAAAAGCTTTTAATATGAGACGATCTATCAAAAATAAAGTGTTTCTTAAGGTAACTGACACACTGATTTCACCATGTTTTACCCGGTTTTTTCTTCAGGAATAAAAAGAAAAGTCTGTTAACGGATATAAATACAACCGGCTTTTCATCGGAAGAAGTTTGTAATTGGATCGCCGATTAAGCCAGAAAATTCAACCGGCCGACTTGGCTGACTGAAAAAATCTCAATTAAACTCAACTCTGGTGGCCACAAACGTTTCTATTTTACTGTAAAATCCGAACCATGACACGATACGTGGACACACAAAAACGTGGGATGATGAACAACTTTTAATTTATGATAAACGTCGATCGCGATATGGTGGATGGCTCTTAATGTTTTCATCCAACGAACAATTGAATATTTTGTTTAAATCGGAAATTTTGTTCACCGATGGCACCTTTAAATGTTGTCCGAGTTTATTCGAACAATTGTATGTGGTTTTGGGGGGCTGGAAAATGGAGAAGGCATTGTGCAGGTTTTTTTATGGCTGAAACTGCCACTTGTCTTTTTCTGTTGTAGCCGTTCCTGTTTGTTTTGCGCTTATATCGAACAGAACACATGAAATGTATGAAGCTATTTTCGAACGACTACGTGGTCAAGAACTGAAACCACAACGTATTGTTTGTGATTTTGAACGTGCCTTTATGAATGCAGCTGCAACAACGGTGAGTAAAAATATTAGAGGAAATATTGTAGGTACCATCCCTTGTTATAGTTACCATCAACACAAGTCACTGGATGTTGGTTCCACTTTACTCAAAGCTGTTATCGAAATATACAGAAACTTGGTCTGGTGAGAACATATGAGAATGATGAACAGAGCCGAAACTTGTCACGGTCATTTACGGGTTTGGCTTTGTTACCCGAAAAACTGGTTGATGATGCAGTCAAAAACGCAAGAAAACAAGTTGTAGATTACAAGTGTAGATTATTGTCTATTATTGTGGTTTTGGGGGCTGGAAAATGGAGAAGGCATTGTGCAGGTTTTTTTATGGCTGAAACTGCCACTTGTCTTTTTCTGTTGTAGCCGTTCCTGTTTGTTTTGCGCTTATATCGAACAGAACACATGAAACGAAATCCTTTTTTGACTGGGTATGTACCTACTCACTATGAAATTGGTAGTAATATTATTCTATACTTTCACTCTAACAATGATTTCTGAAAAAGATAAAGACAAAACTGCAAGAGTAAAATATATCCTATAGGGCAAAAAGGAACAAGTAGAATGCGAGAATAAGAATAATAAACATCAAACACTAAAAGAATCATGCTAAATCACTTTTATCAGGGCTAAATATTTGGCGAGTAGTTCTTGTTTATTTGGGTTTGTGTTCGACTAGTGCCACTAACCACTTTGGGTTCGGCATGAGGCTTTGTTGAATAAAAACTTGAGTATTCGATAGTTACCAGAGTCAGCTACGTATAGATTATTGTCTGCATCGAACTTTATTCCATGTGGAGAATTCAGTGCATGGACACCGGTCGGTTGTAGAACAACTTGTCCTTGTTTTCCATTTTTCAAGGGCCACCGTACAATACGATTGTTGCTTGCATCGGAGATATACATCTGCTTTCCTGTTGGATCAATGATAACTGATCTTGGATTATAGAAAGAATTCAAAGCAGAAGAATGATATGCACTTGAAGAGCCGGCTACCGTTGTGGCTGTTGATCCATCACTTGACCATCTTTGTATTCTGTTATTATTTCCATCACAAATATAGAGATAATTCTTGTCAATCTCATCGACGAACAGGCCAGCAGGATAGTTCAGGTGATTTGCATCATCACCATAATAATCAGTTTCACCAGCAACAAGAACACCAGTTTTACGTCCTGCTTTAAATTTCAATACATCATCTTTCGCACCATCGGCTACGTAAACTGCTCCATGTGAATCAACGTACAGACCAGTTGGTTGGCTCAGCTGATCTGCATTACTATTTGAAACAATTGAAGATGTCCAAAAAAGACTGCCTAAGAGAAAATGCGAGCACATCGAGAATCTGCTAGAGGAACCAAAATATAAAAAGATTTGACCTATATTTTTTATGCGGGGCATCGATTCTACGCCCAAAACTGTGGTTATGAAAACAAATTTGTCTTCGATGATGGCTGAAAATCCGTTTTTCTAACTCTTTACATTGGACTCTTAATCATAATAAACCATACAGATTTGTCAGGCAGAAAAAATTTTCTGGTATATTTTTACCCTAGGGAGGGGGAACCTCAAGGAAACATTTCGGAAAAATTTGTTAGTTCGGAAAATTCTTGGAGCACATATCATTCGACTCAGGATCAGTTTGCGATGCTGATTGCAAATATGACCTTAGTTTTGTTTCAAGTTTCATGCTCATTGAGAAAAATTGAAAATACGCCTGATTTTTGCGGTTTTTGTGCTGCCAGCGACTTTCGTTTCCTAAATTGTGTTCGTCCCGTTTTGACACTGGGAACGGCGAACTGTACGTTAGCGTGTCTTATGCAGTTTTGTTTCCTCTACAAGATGACATTTAGAAACCTCTTGTACTCTTCCAACCGGGAGAGAAAATTTGAAATTAGTCAAAAGTTTCAGGATTTCGAAAAGCTAAAATTTTTCCAAAAATTTGAATTTGAAAGTTCAGTAATTACCAATTTGCGAACACCAAACACGTGAGTCGAGGGGGGGTACTTCCAGTCAGATCCGCCCACCATTACATGACCTCGTAGCCGCGAAGAGTTTTATCATCATCCAATTTTGTTTTACATACTTAATAAGAGAATCATCTTGTTCAATGTCACTCGACAACATTAGATGATAAAATAATGTCCAGTATTTAAATTATTTTCATCTAAATAATCGAATAGTACATGTGAGTACATGAATGTAAAGAGTGATATCAGTGGCGGCTCGACCGGGGGGAGGGTTACCCCCCCATACTTTTTAAAAAATTTGGTCAAATTTACTCCCAATTTGTGAAGCAGATATGAACGATTTACTCCCAAATTTGGGAAAAGATAAGAACGATTTACTCTCATTTCGGAGAAACCCGGAGAGTGATTTACTCCAAATTTGAACATAGTCATTAATGATTTACTTCCGTTTCGAATAAAATCAAGACCCATTTACTCCCGTTTTAGAGGAAGTCATGGGCCCTTTACTCCCAATTTTGGAAAAACTCGAAGAGTGATTTACTCCGATTTTGAACAAATCAAGAACGGTTTACTCGTAGTTTGAGAAAAGATAAGAACGATTTACTCCGAATTTCGGAGAAACCTGAGGGATGCTTTACCTGTTTTCATCGAACAGTTTGTGACTGAATGAACAGAGAATGAAGCAATGAAAGTAAAGCGAATAGGCAGACACAAGCTCACTTACTAAAAGTAGACTTCACCATGAGCTCGGAGAATCAGGGGCTTATTTTTGGAGACCTTACTCCCATTTTTGAGGATCTTACTCCCATTTTTGGATTTACATGCTCCCAACCTCTTCGCGCCGCCACTGAGTGATATCATCACGGCTTTGAGTTCAGGCCATTTTAAGGATACAAATAACAATTTCATATTTTTCATATCTTTTCATTTTCAAATATTCATCTATCTGTTCGATACTTATTTTCAGTTAAATTATTGCTTTTAGTAGAATTGACTGTAATATCATGCACTGTTGGTAAATCTTCTGTTTTTATACCAGATATTTCTGCTTGCTAAGTTTCAAAGACACACAAAATAAAGAGAGAAAGAAGATTTGTATCAACTTAAGATTTTTATAAATTGTCTAATCACATATAATTTTTCTTCCGAGAACGACGCTGCACCATAGTAGACAAAGGGTATTAGCTTTGTTTGATTTTGAATAAAATCTTGTGTAATATCATGATAAGCATTTAAGTCGACAATTGCTATTGGTTTCGGTAAGAGTCGTGCATTGATCATGATCATATTTCGATCATCAATATGAAAATTGGTTGTATTCTTTAATAATGTTTGTTTATTATAATTACATATTTTTATTGCATCCCAAATAGTATCATGGCGTTCTGTCGGTGATACAGAACGGAGTTTAAATACAGACTAAATAAAAGTTAGTCTCAAAATGAAATGGTGCAACAGCTTTCACTCGTCAAAAGTAATCAAGCCCAAGTGCTTACTTTACAGTTTTGAAGAATAATTTTTGATATTACTCTCTTCCTTTTACTGCTATGTTACTATCACAACAGCAACAACAACGAGTGGGCCAGATTAAACCGCCCACTTTTGTTTTCTGTTCTGAGACACTGAAAATAGTTTTAAAATCAAATTTTGAGCTCATTCGGTAGAGAATTCATGCTCTACAAAACTATCGACTTTGTTTTTGCAATAAAATTTTCTTGTTGACGCAAAATTTAAAACATTAACACGTACTCAATTGTCTAACTGCTACGGTCAAAAAACGAAAAACTGATGAAAATTTTTTAATAATAGTTCCGCTGAAATTCCAAATATTCTCCGTAAAATTATGCATCTTTTGATGTATGTTTCAGATTTTTAGAAGAAATATTTGTGAGGAAAATGTTTGAAATAAAAAATGTGAAAACAGTGAAAGAAATCCCTTTTCTGACAGACCTATGCCATTGTTCTTTTTAATTCGAAACAACCTAAACGTTTTCATTCTTCAACTCAACAGTCACACTATTTTGTTCAATTTGCGAACACCAAACACGTGAGTCGGGCGGGGGAAGGGGTACTTCCATTCATATACGCCCACCCTTACATGACCTCATAGCCGCGAAGATTTCAATATCGGTATCGTGTTAAAAAGTCACCCTCACCGCGAGAACACTAGGCTCGTTTTTCAGGAAAACATGGTTTTCCAGAGGTCCAAAGTTTTAGGGTTACTTTTAGGATTTTCCTCTCAAACCCAAATAAAACCCTTGACTATTGTACATGAAAATATAGAGGCACAAAGCCTGAGTAAAATAGCGAAAGAATTAGCCCGATACCTGTCGGTGTGTTTGAACAGAGATCGATTTAGTGAAAAAAATTGGGAAGTTTGAGCTCATATATCAAAATCTC